TTTGAGGAACTTTTAAATGTCGATAAAGAAAGGGAGGTGGTAATTTCATGCACTGGTCAGGGAGGTATAACATCTTTTTGGAGTGAAGAAGAGCAGGATGTGAGTGTGGGGGACATGCGTGAGGCATTACGAAGAATGAAAGGGGGTAAAGCAGCTGGAACTTACGGGATTATGACAGAAATGTTAAAAGCAGGGGGGAAGATATTGTGTTAAGAGTGGTTGGTATTTTTGTTTAATAAATGTATGAAAGAGGGGAAGGTACCTAGGGATTGGCAGTGTGTGTGTATAGTTCCTTTATATAGAGGGAAGGGGGACAAGAGAGATTGTAAAAATTATAGGGGAATAAGTTTACTGAGTATACCAGGTAAAGTGTACAGTAGGGTTATTATTGAAAGAATTAGAGGTAAGACAGAGTAGGATTGCAGATGAGCAAGGAGGCTTTAGAGTGGGTAGGGGATGTGTAGATCAAGTGTTTACATTGAAGCATATATGTGAACAGTATTTAGATAAAGGTAGGGATGTTTTCATTGCATTTATGGATTTAGAAAAGGCATATGATAGAGTGGATAGGGGAGCAATGTGGCAGATGTTGCAAGTGTATGGAATAGGTAGTAAGTTACTAAATGCTATAAAGAGTATTTATGACAATAGTGAGGCTCAGGTTAGGGCATGTAGAAGAGAGGGAGACTACTTCCCGGTAAAACTAGGTCTTAGACAGTGATGTGTATGTAATGTCACCATGGTTGTTTAATACATTTATAGATGGGTTTGTAAAAGAAGTAAATGCTAGGGTGTTGGGGAGAGGGGTGGGATTGAATTATGGGGAATCAAGTACAAAATGGGAGCTGACAGTTACTTTTTGGTGATGATACTGTGCTTATGGGAGATTCTAAAGAAAAGATGCAAAGGTTACTGGACGAGTTTGGGAGGGTGTGTAAAGGTAGAAAGTTGAAAGTGAACACAGATAAGAGTAAGGTGATGAGGGTATCAAACAATTTAAAGAAAAATGGGATATCACATTGGAGAGAGAGAGTATGGAGGAAGTGAATGTTTTCAGATATTTGGGAGATGACTTGTCAGAGGATGAATTTATGAAGGATGAGGTTAACCATAGAACTGATGAAGTAAAAAAGATGAGTGGTGCATTGAGGTATCTGTGGAGACAAAAAAATGTTATCCATGGAGGCAAAGAAGGGAATGTATGAAAGTATAGTGGTACCAACACTCTTATATGGGTGTGAAGCTGGGGTTGTAAATGCTGCAGTGAGGAGGCAGCTGGAGGCAGTGGAGATGTCCTGTCTAAGGGCAATGTGTGGTGTAAATATTATGCAGAAAATTCGGAGTGTGGAAATTAGGAGGTGTGGAGTCACTAAAAGTATTAGTAAGAGGGCTGAAGAGGGGTTGTTGAGGTGGTTTGGTCATTCAGAGAGAATGGACCAAAGTAGAATGACTTGGACAGCGTATAAATCTGTAGGGGAAGGAAGGAGGGGTAGGGGTCGTCCTCGAAAAGGTTGTAGGGAGGGGGTAAAGGAGGTTTTGTGGGTGAGGGGCTTGGACTTCCAGCAAGTGTGTGTGAGCATGTTAGATAGGAGTGAATGAAGACGAATGGTTTTTGGGACCTGACAAGCTGTTGGAATGTAAGCAGGGTAATATTTAGTGAAGGGATTTAGAGAAACAGGTTAGCTGGACTTGAGTCCTGGAAATGGGAAAGTACAATGCCTGCACTTTAAAGGAGGGGTTTGGGATATTGACAGTTTGGAAGGACTTCTAAACTGTCATATCTGAGCACCTCTGCAAAGACAGTGATTATGTATGAGTGAGGTGAAAGTGTTGAATGATGAAAGTATTATTTCTTTTTTGGGATTTTTTCTTTCTTTTTGGGTCACACTGCCTTGGTGGGAGATGACCAACTCGTTGAAAAAAAAAATATACATGTACAGTGGACCCCCCGGTTAACAATATTTTTTTCATTTCAGAAGTATGTTCAGGTGCCAGTACTGACCGAATTTGTTCCCATAAGGAATATTGTGAAGTATATTAGTCCATTTCAGACCCCCAAACATACACGTACAAACGCTCTTACATAAATACACTTACATAATTGGTCGCATTGGGAGGTGATCATTAAGCAGGGGTCCACTGTATATATATACATGTGTATATAAAAATTACTAAATTTAAAAAGAGAAGCTTTCGTTTTTCTTTTTGGGCCACCCTGCCTCTGTGGGATACGGCCGGTTTGTTGAAAAAAAAAAAAAAAAAAAAAAAAAAAAAAAAAAAAAAAAAAATTATATATATATATATATATATATATATATATATATATATATATATATATATATATATATATATATATTATACATATATATATATATATATACATTATATATATATATATATACATATATATACATATATATTATATATATATATATAATACATATATATATATATATATATATATATATATATATATATATATATATATATATATATATATATATATATACATTATATATATATATATATATATTATATATATATATATATATATATATATATATATATATATATATATATATATATATATATATATATATATATATATATATATATATATATATATATATATATATATATATATATATATATATATATATATATATATATATATATATATTTAAACCAGCTGTTGGTTTAACCCTTAAACTGTCCAAACGTAGATCTACGTTTTTTCAACATTTGAAAGTATGTAAAAAAAGTAGCGCTTCTTTTTCTTTTTTTACATTTGAAAACGTGTAAAAAAAAACTTTGAACTACATTTTTTTTTTTGCTATATTTGAAAATATGTTAAAAAACGTAGATCTACTTTTGGAGCACTACGCATGTGAACGTAGATCTGTTTGGACAGTTTAAGGGTTAACTACCTAAACAGCTGGATAGTTATTGTAGCTCAAATGGTAGTGCTTTCAGTTCACAACTAAAGGACTCTGGCTTAAATCCAAGATCACTGAAAATGTTGGGCATGTTTCCTTACACCTGATTCCTGTTCATCTTGCAGTAAATTGAGACATGGTGCAGAATGCATCCTGGGAAAGAAGAAATAAACCACATATTTTTCATAATAGAAAAGGTGAATATGTACTTCATTCCCAGGTCGAACTTCAGCATTATGTTTTGAGCTAAATCACTTCAAGATGATGTAGTTGAGCATTTAAGGTAGTTTTTATTTGTGCAAATAAAAAACCCAATGTGCCCTAATTGAAGCAAATGTAACCCAACCTAATGTGTAATAATGACACTCACATTAATATTAGGACGAAAACACTGACAGAGACTTTCCTGTTATGGATATTACTAGTGGTAATTATACTGTGTAATGGAAAAAGTCAAGGGCCCCAATAAAAATAAGTCACATTGTCTAACTTTTTTGGGTTATCCTAGGTAATTTATACTATGTATGATGATTGTACTTATGTGTACCTGTGCCTAAATAAACTTACTGACGTACTAATGTTGACAGGTTCTGACCCGGAAATAAAGCACACAGTGACTGATGGTTTAACTGCCAAAAGCCAGTTAGTTACCATAAGAGAAAAGATAAAATTTTGTTCAGATTTTTAACCCAGGAGGGTTAGCCACCCAGGATAATCCAAGAGAGGCAGTGTATCATCAAGGGACCTTGTCTTATTTCCATTGGGGTCCTTCAATCTTATCTCCCAGAATGTGACCCACACCAATCAACTAACATCCAGGTACCTCTTCACTTGCTAGGCATACAGGACAACAGGTGTAAGGAAACACACCCAATGTTTCCACCCTTGCTGGGGGATAAAACCACGGACACTCAAGTATGCGAGGTGAAAGCATTGCCTACCAGGCCCACGGCCTGGTATGTTTCCCTACACCTGTTGTGTGTTCACCTAGCACTAGATTGGTACATGATGTAAGTTGACAGCAGTGGGTTTCATCCTGGAGAAGAGGATGAGACGGCTCCCATTGAAAATAAGCCAGATTTTCGAGAAAAATTATAATGGTCTTGTGAATACACGTCATGGACACATAAGTGCATTAAGTATAGGACTTTATTTGAATTATTAACACAAAGTTACCCAAGATAACCCAACAAGGTCAATTAATGTGGCTTACTTCCATTGGGGTTCTTCTGAGGTCCTTCCCCAGGATGCTACCCACAACACTCACGTAACTTCCAAGTAATTAAGTTTAATTAGGCACAGGTATACATAAGTATAGTTATGATACATAGCGTAAATTACCTAGAATAATCCAAAAAACTCAAAGTGACTTATTGCCACTGGAGGCTCTTGACTTGCGAGGAAATGGAGCTAAAAGACTTGCCTAAACATCCCATCTCGGTCGTTAAATATACATTTTTTAGGTCTATTTAACCTAACCTATAGTCTCAAGAACATAAGAATGGAGGAACACTGCAGCAGGCCTACTGGCCCATACAAAGCAGGTTCTCAAAATCGATCATTCACATTCACCCACTTGTCCAACCCATTCCCAAATATTCCCAAAAATTAGCTTCAATACTTCAGTCATCATTATTATTATAATCAAAAAGAAGCGCTAAGCCACCTTCAGTCATCAAACCCAGCCATTCTCTCACATATTTGCCCAATTTTTTTTTAGAGCTATCATCCGGCTGGCGGGTGATTATTATTATTATTATTATTATTATAGTCATGGGGAGCGCTAAACCCGTAGGATTATATAACAGGCTGGCGGGTGAACGACTCTCTAAAATTTCACACAAAACTTTCTCAATTACAAGAAACCACCTATTTGTCCCATTATTTAGAGTATTTTTCCCTCCTAACGGCTTAAATAAAGCCAAATCATCTACCATAAGGAGAGAACAGGTAACGTTCTGAGGTAGAAACATTGAACTACCCACCAATTCTCTTCAAAATAAATGGTAAAGGAAACGCTGGAAAACGCCGCATTTTGCAAAACTCCATACACAAGACACTCACCAAGTTTTCCCTGATGATTCTAAGTAGTTTTTCATCCAGGGGGTTGGGAATGTGGCCCCGAGGTATGTGCTGGTGGCCGTGGTGGTGATCCAGTCCGGCCATTTTTATTGTTGTGAGAGAGACAGCTGAGAGGTGCATGGAGGGTGAGGCGTGGAGGAGCCTCACTCTACCTCCATGGAGGAGCCTCACTCTACCTCCATGGAGGAGCCTCACTCTACCTCCATGGAGGAGCCTCACTCTACCTCCATGGAGGAGACTTACTCTACCTCCATGGAGGAGCCTCACTCTACCTCCATGGAGGAGACTTACTCTACCTCCATGGAGGAGCCTCACTCTACCTCCATGGAGGAGCCTCACTCTACCTCCATGGAGGAGCCTCACTCTACCTCCATGGAGGAGCCTTACTCTACCTCCATGGAGGAGCCTCACTCTACCTCCATGGAGGAGCCTTACTCTACCTCCATGGAGGAGCCTCACTCTACCTCCATGGAGGAGCCTTACTCTACCTCCATGGAGGAGCCTTACTCTACCTTCATGGAGGAGACTTACTCTACCTCCATGGAGGAGCCTTACTCTACCTCCATGAAGGAGCCTCACTCTACCTCCATGGAGGAGCCTTACTCTACCTCCATGGAGGAGCCTTACTCTACCTCCATGGAGGAGCCTTACTCTACCTCCATGGAGGAGCCTCACTCTACCTCCATGGAGGAGCCTTACTCTACCTCCATGGAGGAGCCTTACTCTACCTCCATGGAGGAGCCTCACTACCTCCACTTAGGAGCCTTACTCTACCTCCATGGAGAACCCTCACTCTACCTCCATGGAGGAGCCTCACTCTCCCTCCATGGAGGAGCCTCACTCTACCTCCATGGAGGAGCCTTACTCTACCTCCATGGAGGAGCCTTACTCTACCTTTATGGAGGAGCCTCACTCTACCTCCATGGAGGAGCCATACTCTACCTCCATGGAGGAGCCTCACTCTACCTCCATGGAGGAGCCTTACTCTACCTCCATGGAGGAGCCTCACTCTACCTCCATGGAGGAGCCTCACTCTACCTCCATCGATGAGCCTCACTCTACCTCCATGGAGGAGCCTCACTCTGCCTCCATGGAGGAGCCTCACTCTACCTCCATGGAGGAGCCTTACTCTACCTCCATGGAGGAGCCTCTCTCTACCTCCATGGAGGAGCCTTACTCTACCTCCATGGAGGAGCCTCACTCTACCTCCATGGAGGAGCCTCACTCTACCTCCATGGAGGAGCCTTACTCTACATCCATGGAGGAGCCTTACTCTACCTCCATGGAGGAGCCTTACTCTACCTCCATGGAGGAGCCTTACTGTACCTCCATGGAGGAGCTTTACTCTACCTCCATGGAGGAGCCTTACTCTACCTCCATGGAGGAGCCTCACTCTACCTCCATGGAGGAGCCTCACTCTACCTCCATGGAAGAGCCTTACTCTACCTCCATGGAGGAGCCTTACTCTACCTCCATGGAGGAGCCTTACTCTACCTCCATCGAGGAGCCTCACTCTACCTCCATTGAGGAGCCTCACTCTACCTCCATGGAGTAGCCTCACTCTCCCTCCATGGTGGAGCCTTACTCTACCTCCATGGAGAAGCCTCACTCTGCCTCCATGGAGGAACCTCACTCTACCTCCATGGAGGAACCTAACTCTACCTCCATGGAGGAGCCTTACTCTACCTCCATGGAGGAACCTTACTCTACCTCCATGGAGGAGCCTTACTCTACCTCCATGGAGGAACCTTACTCTACCTCCATGGAGGAGCCTTACTCTACCTCCATGGAGGAGCCTCACTCTACCTCCATGGAGGAACCTTACTCTACCTCCATGGAGAAGCCTCAATCTGACTCCATGGAGGAACCTTACTCTACCTCCATGGAGGAGCCTCACTCTACCTCCATGGAGGAGCCTTACTCTACCTCCATGGAGGAGGCTTACTCTACCTCCATGGAGGAGCCTTACTCTACCTCCATGGAGAAGCCTCACTCTACCTCCATGGAGGAACCTTACTCTACCTCCATGGAGGAGCCTTACTCTACCTCCATGGAGGAGCCTTACTCTACCTCCATGGAGGAGCCTTACTCTACCTCCATGGAGGAGCCTTACTCTACGTCCATGGAGGAGCCTTACTCTACCTCCATGGAGGAGCCTTACTCTATCTCCATGGAGGAGCCTTACTCTATCTCCATGGAGGAGCCTCACTCTACCTCCATGGAGGAGCCTCACTCTACCTCCATGGAGGAGCCTTACTCTACCTCCATGGAGGAGCCTTACTCTACCTCCATGGAGGAGCCTCACTCTACCTCCATGGAGGAACCTCCTTCTACCTCCATGGAGGAGCCTCACTCTACCTCCATGGAGGAACCTTAGTCTACCTCCATGGAGGAACCTTACTCTACCTCCATAGAGGAGCCTCATTCTACCTCCATGGAGGAACCTCCCCCTACCTCCATGGAGGAACCTCACTCTACCTCCATGGAGGAGCCTCACTCTGCCTCCATGGAGGAACCTCACTACCTCCATGGAGGAGCCTCACTCTACCTCCATAGAGGAGCCTTACTCTACCTCCATGGAGGAACCTTACTCTACCTCCATGGAGGAACCTTACTCTACCTCCATGGAGGAACCTTACTCTACCTCCATAGAGGAGCCTCATTCTACCTCCATGGAGGAACCTCCCCCTACCTCCATGGAGGAACCTCACTCTACCTCCATGGACGAGCCTCACTCTGCCTCCATAGAGGAACCTCACTATCTCCATGGAGGAGCCTCACTCTACCTCCATGGAGGAGCCTCACTACCTCCATGGAAGAGCCTCACTACCTCCATGGAGGAACCTCACTCTACCTCCATTGAGGAACCTCACTACCTCCAAGGAGGAACCTCACTCTGCCTCCATGGAGGAACCATTAGCTAGGGATGTTTGCAATCATGTCATTACGATTTCGTGAGTCAGGGATGTATCATCTGTCAAAGGGTGAGGGTGAGGTGTCTTGATACTGGTGAAGGGCTCTTGATACTAAATTTAGGGCAACCTTCTCTTGGATCAAACATGATTATTTCCCATTCTCCAGGCAGTGTCACCCTATGTAGTGAGGTCACAGACCCTGAGCTGCTTTGGGGATTAGCGTGGACGGTTACAAAGCATGGCTTGCTTCTGCAGTGTTTTAAAAACTGAGGTTGGAGAGTTGAAGGAGGAGGTCTTGCTTCTCCAGGAGGAGATTAGGAGGCTGAAGGTCCACCTCAATGGGCCTGGGAGAGAGTGTGAGGTGGTTGGAGATGTGGGGAATGAGGCTTCTAGCAGTGAGGTGCAGTCTGTCTCTCACTGTGAGGAGGCTGTAGGTGGGGAGGTAGCAACGGCTACCAGCAGTGAGGTGCAGCCCAGCACCTGCTACAAGTGGCGAGTTGTTCACAGTAATGGGAGGCGCATCAGAGTAAGGAAAGTTAAGAGTGAAGATCTGAAGGTAGGAAATCGCTTCTCTGTTCTCCAGGATGAATGTACTTCAGTGGCCAGTGAAGGTAAGGGTACTACTGCCCCTGCTAATGAAGGTAAGCGCATTCTTGTGGTTGGTGACTCTCAGGTAAGATATGTTGACCGTGCTTTTTGTAATAGGAATAAGAAGATGAGAGATAGAGTGTGCTTCCCTGGAGCTGGTGTTGGGGACATTGTCAACAGACTGGATAATATCATGTCAGGTAATGGGAACAAGCCCATTATCTGTCTCAGTGCTGGTGGAAATGATATTGGGAAGGGTAGGAGAGAAGAGCTGCTAGATAAGTACAGGTCAGCTATAGATTTCATTAAGTCTAAGGGAGGGATCCCAATCATATGTAGCATCTTGCCTAGAAGGGGAGTAGGAAATGAATGGTTGTCTAGGGCAATTGGTGTAAATTGCTGGCTAGACAGATACTGCAAGGAGCTTGCAATCCCATTCATTGACAACTGGAACAACTTTTATGGCAAACATGATATGTATGCAAGGGATGGGGTTCATCTCTCTGGGGCAGGGGTGGTAGCACTTGCAGACTCGATTGAGAAGGCCATTGGTGAAATGCCTATGATTTTAAACTGATGGAAGATAGAGGTATGGGTGTGTGTGGGAAACAAGCAGGTTGCAACACTAGGGTTGGAAACATTAAATGTATAAAAGGCATTCAGCATGAAGTTATAAATAAAGACAATAGAACAGGTCAGCAAACAAAGGGGGACAGCAGAGGGCAGCAAGGGACTAGCTCCCTTAAGGTTTACTATACTAATAGCAGGAGTGTTAGAAATAAGATAGATGAGCTAAGATTAATTGCAAGTGCAGGAAACATAGATATTATTGCTATAACAGAGACCTGGCTCAATCTGAAAGATAGAGAGATGCCCTCTGAATGTCACATACAAGGCTATAAATTATTCCACACTGACAGGGTCAACAGGAAAGGTGGTGGAGTAGCGATGTATGTCAGAGACAATTTAAATTGTTGTGTTAGACAAGATATTAAATTAGAAGCGTCAGCCACTGAATCTGTTTGGTTACAGCTTCTCGAGGGCCGAGAAAAACTAATTTTGGGTGTGATTTACAGGGCCCCAAATCTTGATAGGGAGTGCAGTAAACTTCTATGGGACGAAATTCGTAAGGCATCTACATACGAAAATGTTGTGCTAATGGGAGATTTCAACTATAGACAGATTGACTGGAGCAATTTGACAGGAAATTTAGAGTCGGGTGACTTTCTTGATACGATCCAGGATTGTTTTTTAAAACAGTTTGTGACAGAGCCAACTAGGGGAAATAACCTCCTTGACTTGGTTCTTGCCAGTAGGGAAACACTAATTAATAATCTTGAGGTTAATGATGAGCTTGGGGAGAGTGATCACAAATCACTCAGTTTTAACATATCATGGAATTCCCCTAATAATGGCAATCAAGTCTCCGTCCCTGACTTTCGCTTGGCTGATTTCATAGGACTGAAAAATTACTTAGGTGGGCTGAACTGGAATGACCTGACTAGGGGTCAGGTAGGTGGTGATGGTTGCCGATATGATGCTTTCCAGGGCATAGTTCTAGCTGCTCAGTCAAATTATGTTCCAAATAGGGAAATCAGATCAAACAAAAATGATCCTAAATGGATGAA